AAAAAAAAGGGCGGACCCCGAGGAGCCCAAGCCGGGCCCCAAAAAGGAGAAGGCGGCCGCCCCAAAGGCCCCTCGCGAGGAGGCCCCGGACCCCGAAATGGCGGCCCCCCCCGCGCGGGGGGCGCCCGCCGCGCCCGCCGCGCCCGCCGCCAACTTGCGGAACCCGATCCTGTTTGTGGAGGCCCTGCCAGACCAGGTCAACGAGATGATGCTCTGGATGCTTTTTTCGCAGTTCCCCGGTTTCAAGGAGGCGCGCGGGGAGCATTTGCCGCTTTGCCCCCGGGGGGCCCGCCCCCTCCCGGTCAGGAGACCGCCCTCGATCCCCCCCGGGGGAGGGGTTTTTGAGGGCCCCGCCCCTGGAATCCCCCCCCCCTCCCCCCCCCCCCCCCCCCGCCGCCGCCGCCGCCGCCGCCCACCCGCTCTGCCACCCGCTGAGAGCCGCCGCCCGCTCGGCGCCCCGGCTCGCAGGTGCGGCTGGTGCCGGGCAAGGCGGGGATTGCCTTCGTCGAGTTCGAGTCGGAGATGCAGTCGGGCGTCGCGATGGGCGGACTGCAGGGCTTCAAGATCACGCCAACCAACCTGATGAAGATCACGTACGCCAGGCGGTGAGGGCGGCGAGCCGCGCATGGGTGGATGGGGCAGTGCTGCGGGAGCGCTCGAGTCGCCCCGGCGGGCAGCAGCAGGGGGAGAGGCCCTCTTTGCGGTGCATTTTATGGTATGTCACACCGACGTCTCTAGCTTCTAGGCTCCACAGAGATGTGTGCAAAATGCATGCGTACGCTCAATATCGCTACGTATGCGTTTTTCGGAGTTCGCTTTCGTGTTTCGGCCTCGGTGCCGCCATGCTCTGGCCTCTGTCTGGGGCTCCAGTCCAGACGGCGCGCAGCGCGGCTGCTCCAGTCTGGGCTCCTCGTCCCCCCCCGCGCCGCCGCGGCCGGGCTGCTCGTACTTTCTCTGCTGCATGTTCTGCTGCCGCGTGCGGTCGGAGGTCGGACCCTCTCAGCGTGGCGTTGGCCGTTGGGCGTTGCGTTGCGTCGAGTTGCTTTCTTGCGAGTTGCGCTCTCGGGGCCCGCGCGCCGCGGTCCGATCTGCGATCTTTTGTGCACCAAAGTTTGCCCATACGACGGCAAACTGGCTCGGGAGGCGTCCCTGATCGCATACGGGCCACAGAGGAGAGACGGAACGGTCAGCTGGGCAGGCGGACAGCGCAAGCTACGCGGGCTCGTGCAACAAGGGCTCGAACGGTTCACCACCTCCGCGAAGCCATCACGAGCGCGGGGCACGACGTCGGCAACCTCATCGTCCACATGCCGGAGGAGCTACCGCGCGCGTGGCCGTGGGAACACGGGGGCGCGTGGACAGAGCTGCTCGAGTCTACCGGAAGGGCCAGCGACGGCGGCGGCTCCAAGCTGCAAGCCACCAGCCTAGGCGCGATCATGCGAGTCAGGAGCGGACAGCTCGGGCTCGGCGAACTCGACTACAAGGACGACGCCGGCAGGGCGGCCATGGAGGCGCTCGCAGAGGTCTGGAGGGCACCCAGGGGACGCCAGCTGGCCGGAGAGCTCGTCCACAGCCTAGAGATGCTGTACGATATCATCGAGCGACCCGTCGCAGCCGCGTCTTTGGACTCGCGGCGAGCAGTGGTGCGACGCCAGAGGTTGCGTTGCTGTTGCGTCCAGACATGCGGCCCTGCTCAGCGTGGGCGTTCACGAGATCGTCGGCTGGGGAGTGGGCGCTGCGCGTGCGGCGTTGCTTGTGGGAAAACGGGCGTATGCTGACGGTGCCGGAGAAGGACGCGGAGCACTTTGTCCTTGGCCCAAATACGGTCGTGGTGCCTCGCTCGCGCAAGCACCCGGGCTACATGGACGATGCCATCGCGGCGGGACGCTGGGGCGCCATCGAGCGGTTTGTGGGCTTGCACGACAAGCTGCGGCGGCGCGCGTACGCTAACCTGAGCGCAGAGGACCTGATCGGCGCCGCGACAGCCGAGAAGCCGCCGCAGAATCGGCAGGTGTTCGTCGAGGCATTGCTGCAGCGCCACTTGCGTGAGGTCGGCGTCGAGGTGCAGCGGACGGCCTTCGACAAGGGCGACGCCGGTCTGTGGATAATGGGTGAGTGCCGCAGGCTGCCGTCGGCCGAGAAGGGCGGCGGGCAGCGCCGGCGTCGCCAAAGAAGCCGGTGCCCAGTATCACTCGTCGAGCAGCACAGCACCGCCGCTTGTCTCGAGGGAGTGAGCTACGGGTGTGCAAAGGGCGACGGTAAGGGAAATGCGTCCTCTGTCTGGGTCCTCAACTGCCGCGGTGTCTTCCGCTGCGTCGGCTTCGACGCGGCGGTGCGGTGCGGCTATCCTCCGGGGAGGGGAGGGTATCACTGCAGCTGCGACGGGAGCGACGTGGAGTCACCAGTCATACGGCACCCCTCCTCGCGCCACCAGCTGCAGGCGCCGGCAGCCGGCGCCTCACGGCTGGCGGTGTGCATCGCGGGCATCTCTCGCACTTTCACACGACCGCACGTGCACCAGTCGATTGCGGCGATGCTTGAGCAAGCCAGCGCCGGGTTGCACTCGGACACCTTTGCGGCTCTCGTACTCGAGGACGACGCGCCGAAGCCAGGCCAGCGAATGTGGGCCGCCTCGCCCGTCAGCAGCGGGGAGCAAGATGTTCGTGCAACGCTTTCCGCGCTTCGTGTTCGCGCGACCGACCTCCGCACGGCCTCCGGTGCCGATGGGGTCGCTCTTAACCTGCGCTGCCCTCTCGACGGTTTCATCGGCGCCACGGAGGCGAACGCGCGCCGCGCCATGGCCCAGTGGCGCACCGTTGGCCGTTGCGTGCCGCTCATCGAGCGAGCCGAGGACGAGGACGGAACCCAGTACGACTACATTCTTCGCACGCGGCCGGACCTGTTCTGGGCAGCGGCCCACCCGCCGCTGCGATCGCTGCTCCTAAGCTCGACGGCAGGCCAATCCGCTGCCTTTTGGGACGACCGTCCTCTCACGCCTTTCGCCGAGGGTTTCCACGGCGAGAAGCCGCCACCGCAGGCCGACTGGCACTTCCTCGCTCCTCGTCCCGCCGGCCTCGCCACCCTCCGCCTCTACGACCGCTACATCGCCTGCAACGGGTCGGCGCCGCCCTTCCGCGCGCCGGTTGGCGCCGTGGTGCACGAGCACAACTCGGAAGCGATGCTGGAGGCGAGCCTGCGCGCGCATGGCCCGCTGCTCAGCGTGTCGCTGCCAATGCTGCTCGTGCGTAAGAGCAGCGCCGAGCCCGCCGCGCGGTCGCTGCTGATGTGCTCGGACGGGTACGCGGCGCGCGTGTTTGGGATGAGCTGCGCCGGTTTGTACGAGCGAGCCTACCCTGGGAGGTGAGTATGACCTATGAGACGTATGTGAGCTGCGGAGGGCGTGGCAGGTCAATGCGCTAGCATTTTAATTAGGGGGGGGGCCCTCTGCAACGCCTGCGCTAGAGCTGTCAAACGTTAAGAGCTGAACAGTGTTGCTAGTGTTAACAGTAACAACAGAACAACAGTTGGGCTCCCCAACAACATTAGCTAATGTTAGGCCAGCTGAACAACAATAAGGAAGGCCTACCAGTGACCCACGACGATCTCCAGCGTCCAGTGCAGGTAATACCCGAAAATACCTGGAAATCTCCCCGGGTATTTTCGGGTTTTACCCGGGTTTTTGGCATTTTCTGCTTGCTGACCACTGAACAACAGTAACAACAGTAACAAACAGTAACAGCTTGGGCTGGGGGAGAACACTTGAACAACGTTGAGGATTTCAGCCAACAATAGTGCAACTGTTAGGCCCAAAGTTAACGTTTGACAGCTCTAGCCTGCGCGCTGGAGAGCCTAAAGCCGTAGCTCCTAGCTAAGCGAGAGAGGCATAGTCCATAGAGCTCTATACGTCTGTGGGCCAGATTTTTTTCATCTCAACCGTAGGGTCCAAGAGCCACTCAGCACTCTCTCACGCCAGGCGAATGCGCGATGAGTCCATCCACACGAGCACCGACTGGCGGCATATAGGACACTGCGCCATCTGAGCGGAGCAGTCGCCGCACGCGCACTGGTGCCCGCAAGGGATCGCGACGTGATCCTTCGGCCGAGTGAAGCAAACTATGCTAACGTGGTCTCGCCGCCCAGGGTGGACTCGGGAACCGCTGCGCGACCTGTGTCGAAGTTGGCGTCGGCTAGCGAGAGCGCCACAGCGGGCTGCGCTCCTCACTCGGAGAGTCGCCAGTCGACCCGGCGGGAGGCGCCTGCTCCTCCGCTGCGCGCCTCGCCTCGTCCTCCAGCCTCGCGCTCCGGTCGAACGCCGCTGCCAACTCTGCCTCCTCCGCCGCCAGCGCTGACTCATCCTCCGGCTCCCGCGACGGCCCAGCGCCGCCCCCGCCGCCCTTTGCCTTGTTCCTCTTCTTCTTCCCCTTCTTGCTCTCCTTGGCACGCTCCTCCGCCTCCTTCTCCGCCTCCTCCTGCGCCAGCAGCGCCTCGGCATGCCGCGCCGCAGTCGCCTCTGCCGCCGCTCTCTCCACCTTCCGCACCTCCGCTTCCTGCGCCGCTCTCATCTCCACCTCTGCCGCTCCACCGGGCCTCCTGCTGTGGCGCCCACGCCACGTGCGCCGCGACAAGCAGGGGTCAAGTCGTTCGGCCGGGGCGTCCTGGGCGGGCAAACGCCCGCCCCGGCGGCCGACTCTGGGATTGTAGGTCGAGTCTTGGTGGTACGGAGACGGTCACGAGACGGGACGGACGGGACCTCCGGACTCTAGGACGACGCCACGGGACTCTAGGAGAGAGAGTGTGAAGGGAGTCTGGCGGGGCTTTGGCCCGACGTCCCCCCCCTCGACGAGTCGACGTACGGCTCTAGTCGAGCAACCGTAACTCGCTTCGTGAATCTCTCCGGACCTTCGATGTGAGTCATGTCGGAGTCCATCGGCGGAGTCGTCGACATTGTGGTCGACGGCGTGTGCGAACCGATAGCGCAGTGGCGTGTGTCGGCGAGCGAGCCGAAGGCGCGGGAGAGAGAGAAAGTCGAGAAAAACTCTCTCGGCGGAGTGGTCGACATCGTAGTCGACGGCGTGCGAACCAATTGCGTAGCAATCGTGTGGATCACCGGTATTACATACGCCCTGGCGAGCTGGTGCATCCACTTGGTTGCTGTGAAGAATTGAGTCCGTTCGTTGTCGCGGTTGTGAAAAAAAAATCGTCGTGTTGACGCAAAAAAAATATGTTGATGCCGTGCCAGTAGCCGGGGCATCATCTGACGAATCGGTAGCGTAGCGGCGTATACCGGAATTGTGGCCAGATATGTCAAAGCGGTCGATACGAAGCGAACCAATTGTATAGCGGCGTGTGTCGGCGAGAACCTGTCCGGGACCAAAATCCCCCCCTTCAATGTAGTCGCGAAGCTCTGGAGGAGATCGACTGGTCGCAGCGTGGCTGACTGGTCGCCTTCTGGACTCTCGATGCAAGTTACATTGGAGCCCATCTGCGGAGCGTTGGAAGGGGCCGAGGTGTCTGACCGGGGTAGGTCGGTGGCGTAGCTTCGGCATCCGGTGCGGCTGTTTGGTAGGCTGACGTTGCCCTCGGTGGCGGAACGGAACAAGGGGCGTGACATGGGTGGCCATACGTGGGCCGTAACTGGAGGTGGAGCACGGCGAAGTGATGCACGGCTGATTGAAGCGGGGCCGAGCATCGAGTGCGGTTGGATTATGGCGAGAGAATGGATAGACTTCTCTGAGGGCAATTTGTTGGGCCTCGGCGTGTGTAATGTAGCACCATTCGGGGCTGGTCCCAGCGCACTCCTCCATGGTGCACTCGCCACGGATGAAGCGCTCGACAAAGCGTGAATCGTCAGCTTTGCCGCTGCGGTCGCGGGGTTCTTTGAGTCCAGCGGTGAACCAGGATGCGCCGCCTGGTTGTTCGTCCTGTCGCATGGCTTGCGCGTGGCCGGATGGATCGCAGCGTGGTCCGGCGGAGTCGAGTGCAGCCAAGATGCGGAGCCCGGGTTGGGGGTGCCCAAATTTGACGATGGCACCGGAGGCAGGTGTGAAGCCTCTGTTGAGGGCGGAGTTGACAGGGAAGACACTGTCGGAACAATGCCCGAGCCTCCCGGGAGTACTCGAGACATCGTCGACAGAGGGGTCGAGGGTAGAGCCGGCACGATGTCCCATGGCTTCGTGGTGCTCAGCGACGCCGGTGTTTTGGCTTCCGGTAGCGGGAAGTGGTACACTCCTGTCACCGTCGGCAACGGCGGCAGGCACGCAGGTGCGTCGCATGGGGCGGAGGTCGTCGCCCGGTTCGAGGGTGCTTGAGTTGAGTCGCTCGACAGCGTGAGCGACGGCGATGACCCGCGCGTCGGCGACGCTGTTGCGTGCAGCGCGCTCGGCCTTTCCTTGGATGGGAAGGGGCTTGGCGGGTTGGCGGGGTGCGGGAGGCGGTGCTGTCTCGTTGACCTCGTCGTCGGGTTTGGCAAGCTCGGTCCATGGGCCGCTAACGGCTGAAGCGTGCGATCCTGGCGCGACGTGCTTTGGCTCTCTCCAGTTGTGGCGTGGGAGGAGGCGTGCGCGCTCGGTGAAGTTCTCTGAGTTTGCATGGTGCTTGCTGGAGATGGCGTAGGCGACAATGGCGTTGAGTCGCGAAGGCCGGGTGGAGCGCTCCTTGGAACGCCAGGCGCCCTCGGTGTGCCTCCCGGAGGTGCGCTTGGCGTGGTCGATGTGGTGTGGGCACTCAAGGCCGTCGAGCTGAGCGGCGGCGAGAAGGCCGACAGCAGCAGAGCCATCGGCGGAGCGGCCGACAGCGCTGGAGCCATCGGCGAGGCCGTCGAATCGAGCGACAGCGAAGCGGCCGTCGATATGAACGACGGCGAAGCAGCCGTCGAGCCAGGCGACGGCGAGACAGCTGACAGCAGCAGAGCCATCAGAGGAGGCACCGCTGGTGACGGTGGCGACGTAGAGGGCGTCAGCGGTGGACGCATGGCTCTCGATGGCGGCGATGGCGGCGAGGGCGCCGGCGGAGGAGGCGCCGCTGCGGGTGTCAAGCTTGGCGTCCCAGGCTGAAGCAGAGGCGGAGGCGCCGAGGTCGGGGGCGCCGGCGGCGATGACGCTGTATCGATATCGCAGGCATCTGTAGTCCTCGTTGGCCACCGGGTGATCAGTCCGGAGGCCAGGAGCAATGGTGACGTCGTTGATACAGAAGATGTCGATGCCGGAGGTCGCGCAGGACCCGACAGAGACTTGGTCGATGCCGCCGAGTGCGTCGGCGAGAAATCCGAGGGCATAGCGGCCATCGGCAGAGCTATCGTCGACCTTGCGGGTTGTCCAGCAATGGGTGGGCGGGATGTCGCGGTCGGCGGAGACGCGACTGGAGACGCCTCGGATTTGGGGCAGTGTGGCACGGCCATGGCAGTCGATGGCGCAGGCGTTGTCTGCGAAAGAGAAGACGGCGCGAGCGAGGCTCTCAACGGAGCCGCCAGGGACAGAGTCGCTGGCACGAATTGGGGTGCTGTTGACAGGAGGCGAGGCGGTGCAGGCGGAGACACCGAGGGAAACGCCGCTGTCGACGGAGAGGCCTGGAAGGCCAGGCAAAGCGGCGTGGCGGCGGCCACCGCTGCCGCGAGAAGGTGGGAGGGCATAGGGGTGGCTCCCGATGCGGACGTCGCCGATGAAGAGGCGGATAAAAGAGGTGCTGTCTGCGGGACGCGAGGCGGCGCAGATAGGGCTATCGAGGGAGGCGCCGTCGGGGATAAGGAGGTCCCAAAGGCAGGGCAGGACGGCGCGGCCGCGGCCGATGGTCGCGTCGGCAGGCAGGATGGCGCCGGTGGGGCTCCCGACGGGGACGCCGCCGACGGTGGTCCTGGCTCTGCGGGTTGTGCGGGAGCGGGTAGGCGAGGCGGCGCGGTCAAGGCCATCGAGGGAGGCGCCGCCGGTGACGGAGAGACCAGGGAGGCGAGGCGAGGCGCCGCCGCGGCGGACGATGGTCGCGTAGGTAGGCGGGGCGGCGCCGGTGGGGCTCTCGACGGGGATGCCGCCGACGGTGGTCCTGGCTCTGCGGGTTGTGCGGGAGCGGGTAGGCGAGGCGGCGCGGTCAAGGCCATCGAGGGAGGCGCCGCCGGTGACGGAGAGACCAGGGAGGCGAGGCGAGGCGCCGCCGCGGCGGGCGATGGTTGGATCCAATCTGGATCCAGCTCCAGCTTCCCCCCCATCGCTGTAGTCGAGTAGCGCTGGAGGATTTGGACTGGGTGCAACGGGTTGCTGGCAGACTGGTTGCGTGGCGACGCAGTCGGAGCCACCGAGGCAGGCGACACTGGCGACGAGGAGGCCGTGGTGGAAAGGCGAGGCGGCGCAGTTGCCGATGGCGATGCCGCTGGCGCCCCTCCGGCAGGCGAGCGCGGCGGCGAGAACGCCGCCTGGGCGAAATGTGCTGTTGCGATGTGTACGGCTGGCGGGGAGCGGAGCGTCGCGAGGAGGGCCATCGGTGGAAACCAGGCCCAAGCTGACTGCGCTGGCAGTCGATATCGGACGCCCCGCGGCGCGGTGGTGAGCAGCCATGTCGCAGGTGGGCGCTTTGACGGCGGAGGCGGCGCCAGCCGAGCCGCAGGCGGAGATGCGGCTGGTGCGGTTGGTGCCCTGCGGTATAGGTACAGGTAGTGGCTGCCCGTCGAGGGCGACGGGAGTGAGCCCGAGGATGAAGGCAGAGCCACCAGCGTAGCTGCCGACGCCGGCGACAGCGATGGCGGCGAGGGCGAGGGGTCCGCCGCCGGTGGAGACATCGGCGGGGCCCACAATGGTAGCGATGTGCGGCTCCCCTCTGAGTGGGAAAGAGGGCTCAAGTCCAGTGGCGTTGCCGGCGGATGCGGCGACGAGCGAGCCGCTGCCGGGGCCGACAGCGGCGTCGGCGAGAGGGCCGATGGCGGGGTCGCGGCCGGGGTCGTAGCTGTTGACTGGGCTGAGGTGAGCGTCATGAGGCATGCGAGCGAGATGCGGAGTAGGTGCAGCATGCAAAGGCGCTGGCGGCGCGGTGGGTTCGCAGGAGCTCCTCGGCGCGTGCTCGGGTGCTGGAGGTCGGTGGCTGGAGCCAACCGGACCGCGTCCACTGCGCAGGGGAAAGAGTGAATCGCAAGCGGTGTGCGAGAGAAAGGCGGGGATGAAGATTGCGAGCATTGAGCGGATGAGGTGGATAGCGTGTTGGGGGTTCCAAAGGGCTGTTCGTGAACAGACGACGCTGCCACGTTCGGCCGGGGCGTCCTGGGCGGGCAAACGCCCGCCCCGGCGGCCGACTCTGGGATTGTAGGTCGAGTCTTGGTGGTACGGAGACGGTCACGAGACGGGACGGACGGGACCTCCGGACTCTAGGACGACGCCACGGGACTCTAGGAGAGAGAGTGTGAAGGGAGTCTGGCGGGGCTTTGGCCCGACGCAAGTGTGAGCGATGACCGGGATATGTATGTATGGCGAAGAACAGTCAGAGGCTCGGAGTTGACTGGACACCAGCGCGGTATGGTGGACGCGGGACAGGAGTTGACGGCATGCGTGAGCGACACACAGACACACACAAGCTCACAAGACACTCAGCCAGCTGGCTGCCACACATCACGAGTAAGCGTACGTGCTAGATCCCCGTCTCGATGCTACATCTCGGCTGTGTACCGGCCGTATCTCGGCTATGTCTCGGCTATATCGCCTATATGCCCCCGCCTCGTCTGGCAGCTCGATGCGCACGAGGCGGTCGAAGCGGCCAGGCCGGGTGAGGGCGGGGTCGAGGATGTCGTACCTGTGAGGTGTGAACAGCGTCTCTTCACGCCCACTGCTGTGAACACGCGGTCGAGGATGTCGTACCTGTGACGCGGCGCGCCACTCCTCCTCCAGCTCCGCCGAGCCCCACTCGGGCCCCTCGTCGACCCACCAATCCACGCCCTCCACCGACCTGTCAGAAAAGAATTTGACGCGGGAGCTCCTCCCAGACGCTCGTGATGTCAGAAAAACGCAACGCAGTAGGTAGCCGAGCTGAGGTAGCCCATGCCTGACTGGGCCTCCGACTGGCCAGAGGCTGCCGACGCCGGCTCTGCCGACGCCGGCTCTTCCCGCACGGCCTTGCTCGCGCTGCTGCGTTCTGAAGGTGCTCCGGCAACTGCAGCCGTCTGCATCCCCAGAGGGAGCACCGAAGCTGTCATCTCCTCCCTCGCACGCGGGCTTGTAGAGCTCCTCAGCACTGAACAGCGACGGTGCGGCGGATTGCGTGCGCTGCCCGACGCTCCCGGCGACGATTTCTTTGGCCAGGATGGCGAGGACAGCGTCGACGACTGCCCGCTTCCCGACTTGCCGGGGGCAGTGCGGCTCGCCTCTCCGCGCTGGCTCCAGTCTGCGGTTGAGGCGGTCGGCCAGCTGATGCCGAGAGGCGCCGCATGCCTGCGCTTTGAGGCGGGCAACGGCCGGATCGGGCTGATGCTGCGGCGCTGCCCGCCCCTCCTCGCCACGGTCCGCCTCCCAGACGTCGAGCGCCTCGGCTGCAGCAGCGAGGGCGACGATCAGCTCAGCTCGCTCCTCCTCCTCGAGTGCCGCCGCGCCGCGCTGATGCTCACGCTGCGAAAGGCGTTTGAGGCAGAGGCGGCCGCCCTAGAAGCGGAATACGCATTCTATTGCTCACTGTATTTTTGTCGCTCATATCCACACAGTGCTCTGAATACTCTGCTCAATACCGTCTTCCCGCCCTCACGTTGGCGTATTCACCGCTCAGGCCGCCGCCGCCAGCGGCCGCAAGCCGCCCAACGAGACGCTCAACGCTTGGATCTTCACCCAGCTCGCCCGCAGCCACGCCGGTGGGTTGGTGGAGTCCGGCGACGAGCAGCTCTTCGTGCCGCTCGTCGACGCGGACGCAGCGGCCGGCGCCGGCGGCCACTGCGGCGCGGCTTGGCCGCTCGCGAAGTACCTTGCGCGCGCGCGGGCGCGCGCGGGGGAGGCTGAGGACTCCGCCCTCGTCGAGCGGCACGCAGTTGCCCTGGACTCGTGGCTGCGCAGCCAGTGGCAGCTGCGGCGCGCGCAGCTGGCTGCGGCTCGCGAGCCACTCGGCCGCGGCAGCGGCGGGGCGCAGAGCCGGGAGCTACAGCGTCGCTGCCGAGTCGGTGGCGGCGGCGCGGGAGGCGGCGGCGCGGGAGGCGGCGGCGCGGGAGGAGGTGGCGAGGGCGGCGGCGGCGAGGGCGGCGTCCACGCAACGCAGCCCTCCTACCCTTCTCGACGATTGTGTGTGGTTGCGACGGCGGAGCAGCGGGGTGGTTGCCGCTTGCGCCTCGAGCCGCGGCCGGAGGGTCAGCGCGCGGAGCACGCCCTCAACGGGGAGTGTTTCGCCAAGCTGAAGGAGGGGTACAAAGGCGCGGCGCGTGAGCTCAACGCCCGCCTCTTCCTGCTGCTGCAGGTGTGTTGCAATAAGACAGACAGACAGAGAGGGGGCAGTGGAGAGACACACACACACACACAGAGAGAGAGAGAGAGAGAGAGAGATAGACAGACAGACAGACAGACAGAGAGAGAGAGAGAGGTGATGTGTTGTGACCGCCTCTCCCTGCTGCTGCAGCGCTACGCGACGCTCTTCGGGCCTCGCTCTTCGGAAGGTCGGCTCACCCACGCGCACCGGGCCTTGCACGTTGAACGCCGTGCCAGCTCCTGCCCGCGTCCGGGCGTGGAGATGCGAGGGACTGCCTGGCCCTTGCCCCACCACTTTGTGGTGTGTGGAGAAACCTACCGTACCTAACCCGCACCTAACCCTCGGAAGGGAGAGGCTGGCAGCTCGCCACGCCGCCCGGCGCGATGGCGCAGCTTGGTGCCGATTTCGGCGTCGGGTTCGAGTGCTTTGCCTCTCCGATGAATCGGCGGCACGCACGCTTCTGCTCCGCATTCGCCGACACGGACGCGCCGTTCGGCTCGAGCGGCAGCCTGCTCTAGACGCGGAGCACAGTATTCTTGCATTCCAACCAGCGCTCGAGAGGACACGGACTCCGCTGTACTCGACCGCATTCCTCTGTATGCACTGTCTTTCTGTCGCTCGTTCCGCACAGTGCTCTGAATTCACTGCTCAGTACCGTCTTCCCGCCCCGAGGTGAGGCGTATTCAGCATCTAGGCAACTTCTTCTCCGTGGCGCGCAGCGGCGGGCTGCGGGGCGTCCGTTCGGCATAGTGCGGCCCGCCGTACGCCTAATCTCCCCAGATCTCCCCAGATCTCCCCATATCTCCCCACAGGCAGAGTGCGGGCCGCCGTACGACGACGGAATCATGGCGATGGCGGTGCGGGCGATCGACGCCGAGCTCGCCAGCAGGCCGGCGGGCTGCCCCGGCAGCTTCGTCCTCGTCGTTCCGGACTGGCGCTCGCCGCAGCCGGCCGACTTTGTGCGCGCCGCCGAGGCGAGCCCGCACCTCTCGCACGTCCTCGAGCTGCCGAAGGAGGGGAGCACCGGTGCCTCGACGGGCAATCTCGGGTAATCTCGGGTAATCTCGGGTACTCTGCCGAAGGAGGAGCACCGGTACCTCGACGGCTTCCAGCACCTCGCCTCGAGCGCCTCGCCCCGCTACGTGCTCGGCGAGACGGGCTCGCTTCTTATCTTTCTGCAGAACGCGGCCGGCGCGAGGGCTTGGCCCGTGTGCGAGGCGACCTCATCTCGGGTCATCTCGGGTCATCTCAGGTCATCTCGGGTCATTTCGGCCTGGCTTGTGAGCGAGGCGGCGCTGCAGCGGCAACGGCGCGAGTGGAACCTCAGCGCGCGGGGCCAGGCCCTCGCGCCGCCCTCCAGCGATCGGGCGACTGACGCTGCCACGGCGCTTCGAATCGCTGCCGACGGCGCCGCTGCCGACGGCGCAATCGGTGCGGCCGACGCTGCCGAAGGTTCCATCTCCGTGTCCCACACCACCGCCGTCGCGACGTCGGGCGCGCTCCTCTGCCTCGACCTCTCGGTGCCTTGTCCGGGCGCGCTGGGCGGGCACCGCGACCTCGCGTCGCTGCTGTGGAGCCTCGGCAAGATCTACTGCAGCTCCGGCGGCGCGCCGCGCGGAGGCGGCGGCTACGATGCGTTCGCCGACGACCAGGACGCGTGGCGCAAGGTGCGGTGGAGGTCGGCTGACGCAGAGGCGCTGCGCACCGCCGCGTGGGCCGCGGCGCGAGCCGCCGCGAGGGGACTCTGCGCCGGCGCCGGAGGCTTCACGTGCGTGGTGGAGATTGAGCTGTGCTTTGGGCCGCCGGGAACGGCGGAGGGCGACGCCGCCACCGATGCACTGACGCCACGGGTGGTCGGGCTGGCGCTGCCTGCGGTTTGACGGGGAGGAGCGCGCCCCAGCCACCCGGTGCCGGCCGCCAGCGCACCGCCTCGTCGACCAACCGCAGCATACGTCTCGCGGTAGCGTCAGTTGTTTCGAGAGCGGGGAAGGAGAAAAGGCGGTGTCATTTACTACGCGGAGCTCACCGTAGAGTATACACACACATTATCCATCGCGTCCGAGTTCTCCAGCTGATCGTTGGTTGTATTTGTTGATTGGTCCTTTAAATCTCCTGGGTTGGCGTGCCCCGAGAGCTGCGTCTGGAGCTCCCGAGGCACATCGCCACACGACCCCGGCCGCGTCGGCGCTCAAACAGGCCCCACACTGGGAACCACAACACACACATGCGCCGACGCCGTGAGGACAGGACACTCCCTGTCCACACATACAATCAGAGAACACTCGCGTGCAAGGGAAGAGGAGGGTGGGTCACGCGAGATTGCGCACGACTCGGACGATGGGGTTGAGCAAGCAGCCCGAAGCTGCGAGCCGACGGCGACGCGTGCTTTCGGCGTTACAGCGATTTGGATGGATCGCACGTTTTGTTATGCTTGCTGTCCCCCTCTCCTCACGTTGAAGGATAACCTACATAGCCGCTGCGCGGCTATCTCCGATTATCCATCGCGTCCGAGTTCTCCAGCTGATCGTTGGTTGTATTTGTTGATTGGTCCTTTAAATCTCCTGGGTTGGCGTGCCCCGAGAGCTGCGTCTGGAGCTCCCGAGGCACATCGCCACACGACCCCGGCGTCGGCGCTCAAACAGGCCCATCGCGCCGGCTGCCGGAGTGGAGTCCCAGGTTGTCTCATAAAGGCCCATCGACAAATTGGGGTCGCCGCCCGGTAGGAGGTGGCGGCCGTAGCTGCCCCGGGCGTGTAGTTGCTGCTCCAATCGCACATCGATCCCATCGCATGTGGCCCGAATGCTCGAATTGAACGTCTCGCAAGCTGGCGTCGCCGCGTAGCTGTGGCAGGGCGATCCTCCCTTCGGTGGAAGGGAGATCTCTAGCCTCCTAACGAGGTTGCCCTCCGCCTGGCTGTTTGGCGACAGCGATTAACACCTCCGCAGTTGCGTCGGTCCGCGCCACAGGTAGAGACGTTGAGCTCGACAAATGTCAGAGCAGCAGGGGATGCGGTGCACCTTGGTACCCATGTCTGGTGTGGGGAGCCCGGTCGACCCTGCCCCCACCCCAAAACATGTTGCCTTCGCCTCGCGGCTCAGCGGTAACTGGGTGCACCTTGTTAGGTTCACGCCGCCCCAGCTCAGGTATGTCACGTTCACGCCGCCCCAGCTCTCGTCCAGTGCCAATTCCTGCAAGGGAACAGCCAGGACGGGCCCGCCACCGGCGGGCGGGCGGGGGGGGCGGGGCGAGGGCAGGGCGGGCTGGCAGGGCGGGCGCCTGTACAGGCTGTGCTGCTAGCTCCGCCACGCTTGTCATCTCGAGCTCTGTGATGCGTCAGAGGTCCATTACCTCCTCGCGCCCACCGCCCATGTAGGCTCGCTCGAGATGGCTCACAAGCCTCACAGGTGGCCACAAGGCCTCGAAGGTGGCTGTCAAGCCTCGGCTTACCCAGACACGCCTCTAGCACCCTTTGGCGTACCGCTGGTCGCCACAGCGGTCGCCTCTTTGTGTTCGCCACGATGGGGTCGTCACACATTGTGGACGCCCGACTGTGTGGACGCCATGGCGCGGCCTTGGCCTCACGCCATGGACGCCACTGTGGGGCTCGCCTGGCGTTCTCGCCCGGTCGGCACCCTTGTGTCGGGACGCCACGTCGTGATCTCGCCCCTTGTGGTCGACACTGAGGTCGCCAACTGTGGACGCCAGCAGCTTACCTTTGGCTTGCTATTGGCATGCCTCTGGCTTGCCTCTGGAGGACTCGGTCATCCGTCCTCGGACAGCTCCAGCTGAGGCCCAATGCCTTGGCGGCGGCGGGTTGGGGAGCTGTCTCTCTGGGCGTCACGTTGCATACTGTCTTGCACGTGGCCCCAGTGGAGGTCTGCCCATGTGGGCCGGCCTCTTCCATGCCGCACCAGCACGGTTCCTGCGCTGCCTGCATTGCAATCGACATTGCGGCGGCATGCGGCGGCATTGTGACGGAACGTCTGGGTAGGTGCCTCGCCGCCGCCTCACGCGCCGCCGTGCCGACGAGCAGCCGCAGGCCCGCCTCGTTGCAGCCAGGGAACTTGTGCGTGACAGCGGCGTACCCGGCTGCTGCCTGGACAAAGAAAAACTTCCCAGCAAAACAAAACCAAGCGCCGAACCAAATTTATATATATATATGGTGTCGCTCTCGCCGCCCGCCGCGCTCGCCACGCGGGCGTGGGTGCAGCGGGTCGTCGTGGGCCTTGCGCTCTGTCCGTGGGCCCAGCCGGCCGAGCAGGCCGGAAAAATCCGCTACGCCGTCACCGCTGCGGCAACGGCCGGCGACCTCCTGCTCGCGCTTGAGACGGAGGTGCGCCGGCTGCAGGCCGAGCCGGGGCTCGAGACCACGCTGCTCGTGCACCCGCAGGCGCTGCGCTCGTGGGAGGAGTTCTATCCGTGGGTCGGCGGAGACGCAGAGGCGTGGCTCGAGGACGCGGGGCTGGACGACGCGTTCCAGGTGGTCGGCTTCCACCCCGGCTTCTGCTTCGCGGGCGAGGAGGCGGACGACGCGTCGAACTGGACGAACCGCTCGCCGTTCCCGATGACGCACATTCTGCGCCAGGACTCCGTCGAATCGGCGATCGAATCGCACCCGGACCCGCAGGCGGTGCCCGAGGGCAACAAGTGTGTGCTCCGCCGGATGGGCACGGAGCGCTTGCGCGAGCTCGTGCGGCGGTGTGTTGACGAGGGATGAGCAGGCCCGCCGCCTTCGCTGCCGCCGCCCTCGCCCCTCCGTCGCTCCACCCCGCCCATCTCCCATCTCCGCCCTCGCCGCCTCGCAGGCGCAGATGGTCGCCGGCGAGCCTGTGACGGAGGCGGAGGGGGGCGCGAGACTAGCCGAGAGATGTGGCGAGATGCGGCGAGGTGCGGCGAGGTGCGGCGAGGTGCGCCGACAGGTTCGGCCACAGCGCTGTGTGTTTCCCCGCCGCCCCGATCGGCATGCTCATCGGCCACACCGCGGCCACCGCCGAAGGGGCGGAGAGCCCGTTGCCGCTCGCCTTTAACGCGCTGGCGGCGGGCACCTTCCTCCAGATGGGCGCAGTAGAGGTGCTCGCAAGCGAGATGATGGGAGGCCACGGCAAGTGCCCCGGCATTGTCAAGTACCTCTTCGCGATGATGGGATTTGCCACCATGGCGATCATCGCCAAGTACGCCTAGGCTCTCTGCCCGCGGCCGCGCCCTGATGACGCTGAGCTGCCGGGCAACAGCTCGGTTGGGGAGCTCTAGAGGACTAGAGCTCCCTCTCCACACCTTCCTTGCGACAGAACACAGCGAAGTGGAGAAAGTGACTTTGTTGAGTGATTCTGAGATTAGGTGAGTTGTTTCCCCTTTTTGGAGGCAGACACTTCACTTTTTTCAGAAAGCGAATCCCCCCGGGGCCGCATCTGCCCGCTCGAAGCGGGGAACCCGTCCCGGGCGCCCGCTCGAAGCTCCCAGCAGCAGCCGCTCTGCTGCTCCGGGGCCCCCCCCCCAGCAGCAGGGACGGGTTAGTGTGAAGTGCAGCTGCAGGGGGCGTACTGACAGACCTACTGAGCAATGTGCAGCCGCTCTTGTGGATACGTAAAAAATACGCAGGCTAATTTTGTGTTCCTCCTCAAAAAGGCTCGTCGGGGGGGTAAAGCCGTGTCGCGTGTCAGGTGTGTTCGGAGATAGCCGCGCAGCGGCTATGTAGGTTATCCTTCAACGTGAGGAGAGGGGGACAGCAAGCATAACAAAACGTGCGATCCATCCAAATCGCTGTAACGCCGAAAGCACGCGTCGCCGTCGGCTCGCAGCTTCGGGCTGCTTGCTCAACCCAATCGTCCGAGTCGTGCGCAATCTCGCGTGATGACATCTCGCCCTGATCCCACGCCAGTGGGGCAGGCGCATCATATCGTCGGCGATGGGCCTTTCGAGCCGACGTTCCGCCGCCGAGATCTTGCCGAGATCTAGCCGAGATCTGGCCGAGATCTGGCCGAGAGACAGCCGAGAGACAGCCGAGAGACAGCCGAGAGACAGCCGAGAGACAGCCGAGAGACAGCCGAGAGACAGCCGAGAGGCAGAACCTTCCGTGAAGTCTATCGGAACCTTCCCTCGGCTGCACCTGCGCAGGCCGCCCGCCTCGGCCTTCGCGGCGCTCTCGCACGTCGCTCGCTGCCCGAGTTGCGGCGAGGTGTGGCGTGTGCCCTCGACGCGGCTTGGGGACGCCGCCGCCCTCGCGCCGCCGTGCAGCTGCTGCTCAGAGAGGGGCGAGGCGCCGAGGGAGGCGCCGCAGGTGATGGGGCCGATGTGGGTCGGGCCGATGCACGACGCCGACTTCGTGGCGGGGATGCGAGGCGACGCGGCGGCACGCGGCTGGAGCGAGCCGGACCGGCTGCTCGGCTCCTTCCTGGAGGAGGCGGAGGCGGAGGCGAAAGGCGCCCTCCTCTTCTACCACCTTGGGGAGGTGCAGCGCGCGCTCGCCAAGCGGGATCTGCGCCAGCCGCCGCTCGCCGCGCTGCTGCCGCTGCTGCGCGGCGCCGGCGCTTTGGGGCCGCGCAGGGCCGCAGGCGCACAGCGAGACAAAGTCCCTCAAGACGAGCGCAACGCTCGACGAGGTTGTGCGCGTCGTGTCCGAAGCCAAACACCTCGTCGGCGAATAGATACCTGGTCTTTTATTACTTTTATTCGTGGACACACCGCCGACGGTCCGACGCATCAAACAATATCACTCGGCTTTAGAGACCGGACCGAAGTCTCTTAAACACTCTCACTCTCTCTCTACAACTTTCTCTCTCCGAGACAGCCTGGAGCCTTGGCAGCGCTGGTCTTCGCTTCCGTGGTCCCGTGGAGCAACCCAGTCCCAGCGAGGCAGAGCAGATACGAGATAGGAGGTGTGTGACGCTAGGAGGCAGCAGTTGCGGCAGAAGGGCGGAGTTGCCCGGCGTGGGCGACGCGGGCGGTGCCGCTGTTCTCAATACTAGTACGAGAATCCCGCCCCGGTAAAGCGCGAACTGACTTTCTCTACCCGCAGCTGGAGCCCGCCAAAGTCGCTGCCGTCGAGCGCAAGCACGAATGCGTCCGCGCGCGACCAGTGCTCGAGTTTGACCACCGCATACATCGAGGGTGACCCGTACGAGTTGAGCAAAAAGTCGCAGCCTTCCACACCGCCCGTGCCGTCTGAGAAATCGACCCCGCCCTCAAAATGCGCTTTCAGCTCTTCCTCCGTCGTTGCGGGCTGCACGTGTCGCACCAAGAGCAAGCCGGGACCCACACCTAAAAAACGATGCGGCGGCGGCGGAGGTGGACGCGAAGGGAGGGGCACTCTGGTAATCCCTTTGCCCAGACCACTGTCGTACTCCCTTGCCACGCCCTCAAAGTCAGAATGGGCTCCGCTGCGGACGCAGTGATTTGCGACGTAGGCAAGGACGACACTGCTGCTGCAGCGGCCGCCGTACCTGTATTGGAGGCAGGTGCCATTGTCCGCAGCGGAGAGCAACGACTTCAGGTCCGAGAGGTGAGCCTCATAGTCCTTTGTGAATGCACATTGCGCAAGGAGCTTGGCGAGTATTTCTCTGCCAGTCAGGGTGCAAGGCTCGCGTCCGCTTTTGCCCAAAAAGCGTCCACCGCCTGGCCCCTCCACACGACGCTGCGCCTCCTGAACCTGTTCATCAAACGTTGACTGGTCGCTCGGCTCGCAGGTTAGAGTGGTCATCGTAAAATCGCCTCTCCGGTACTTCAAGTTGACACGGACAGACGCAGACATCTCGCTCGCTCGGGGGCGGGGGCGAGTAATCAGACGCACACATTCAAAGAAATTACTTTGCGGGTGCCGTCCTCCCATCCCTCCAAAATCCCTGTGTGGTGGCGGCGTGCCGTTCTCCCATCCCTCCCTTGGGGTGTGTGTTTTCTTTCTTTCTTTCACCCCTCCCTTGGGTTGTCTGTTTTCTTTCTTTCTTTCTTTTAAGGGGGGGGGGGGCATAGACATACCAGGTTATTAGACTTGGGAAGAGGTTCCTCCTTTCCGCTCCCCCCCCCCCCGCAAGGCGCGAGACACTTAGACCCACTTTATCGTAAACTGGATGGTCTAATCTGGTTCGTCTCTTGGATGGAGCGCCGCCACCACCACCCAGAGCGATGCAAGCAGCGCCGGGCCTTGATACGAAAGTCGAAACCAACCACGACGAGTCACGACACACACCAGTCGACTCGCATCGGTTGCCTCCATCCATGAACGGCGGAGCTATTCTCGCGTCCACACCACACCTGGCTCCAACGTGGACACGCCCATAGCTGGGGACACTAACTACACAGACACACACACACATAAGCGGCGGGCGCCGCTCAAGGATTCAAACTGTGAGCGCTTGAACGCTCCGCCCAGATCCGCGTTCGCCTTTTTTTTGAGCCTAGGCCTTGTGCGATTATTCGCCTCGGCCTCGACCGCGCTCGCATCGCGCGCCGCGCCAGCACCCTCCCTTATCGGTGCAAAGCACGCGTGCTACAGCCGGCGAGCTCGGCTTGCACAATCGCCCGCAATGACGTTGGCAAACTCACTCGCTCTTGCGCTGCTGGAGGCGGTTTGCTCTTCCTCGGCGCGCCTCGTCCCGCTCGTGCTCCTTCTTCTGGCGGATCGCTGCGAGGCCGCGGGCACGGTCTGCGACAACAGCGTGTCATGCTACGGTTACTTCGACTGGCCCTACCAGAGTGTACGACACCATTACGGCACATCTCTGTGCGACGGCACCTTCAGGGGCACCGAGGTGAACCTGAAGAACCAAGGGCTGTCGGGGACGATCCCTTCGCAGCTGGGCAACATATCGCAGCTGACGTACCTTAATCTGAACGGCAACTCCATCTCGGGCACCATCCCTCCAGATACGAGCAAGCTCTCGCAGCTGCACTCTCTTTACCTGTACGACAATGACTTCTCGGGCACCATCCCTCCGGATACGGGCAAGCTCTCGAAGCTGACTACGCTTAGTCTGCACAGCAACTCCATTTCGGGCACCATCCCTCCGGAGATTGGCGGGCTCTCGCTGGATCATCTTGCCCTGTACAACAATGACATCTCCGGAACCGTGCCGTCGCAGCTCAACAACTTGCCGCTGATCGGACGTGCCTGGGTGACGTTCTGCTTGCTGGGCGGCACAAACCACTTTGCCTGCCCCCTGCCCGCCCTTCCCAACGTCTGCACCTCGGGCTCGCGCTTCCCTCCGGAGTGCAACTACCTCGGAGTGCAGACATCGGGAGGCGGCACCGCTCTCGACCTCTCCAGCCGCGGCCTCACCGCGGGCTCAATCCCAGCTGAGCTGGCCGACCTCCGGAGGCAACTACCTGGACTGCGGACCCTCGACCTGCGCGACAACCAACTCGCGTACCCGCGCAGCAGCGAAGCCCGCGTCGAGTACGATCTTGCCACCCGCATCGACTCAACGCTCAGCCAGGAGCTCCCGCACGCGCTGGCGCGAGTCATGGCGCATGCAACGCTCAACAATGATCGCCTCGCCTCGCGCAAATGCGACCGTCCTCGCAGCTGACAGTCCACCGCCTGCTAAAGAAGCACAGCGACGAATGCGGCACCGGCGACGCATGGCAGGCTGGTCATGACGCAGTTATACGGGTGTTGTGTGCCGTCAGAGTGACTCTCTGTGTGTCAGGGATAGTCAGGGCCGTCCATCAGAGCTCCAGTAAGCTCGGAGACACCATTAGCGCGGCTCGACCTCGAGTCACTGCCTTCCCAGCGGTTTGGCTGTATAGAGCCTCTACAACAAACTCTCTCTACAGCAAAATCGCGCTCTACATCGCTCTACATCGGACTCACATCGTCACACCGCTCTACATCGGACTCACATCGTCACGCGCCGGATGTAGAGCTCTACAGCTCTACAGCGCTCCAGAGCGCTCTACATCTCTACATCTCTACAGCGCTCTACACTCTACATCCTCTACACCCATCACCCTCCCTCACTCAGCCGCACATCCAGGTTCCAGGACCGGGGAGCTTAGAAGCGCACGGCACTTGGAGCACTTGGAGTGCAGTCATTAACCTCACATCCAGGGCCGAGGAGCTAAGAAGCGCACCCAGCGAGCCGGATGATCGGTATGGGGCTACTGGCTACAGAGTTTGGCGTCTTTTGTGCCGGTTCGCACAGCTGCGTCCCACCCCACACACAGGACATGCCGAGCGCCCAGAAGATATTCACCGACGACCTCGTCGTCAAGGGGGAAGAGATCGGGCTCGTCGAGCGGGCCCCCAACTCGTCGGACGACGAGGACGAGGACGACGAGGACATCGACGACATCATCGACGACAACGCCGGCGGCGACAAGCTGGCGCCGGGCTCCGCGCGGGTGCACTGGTCGACGCAAGAGGCGCCGACGACCGAGTACATAAGCGAGCTGCGGCTGGCCGACCGTGTGTTCTTGCTGGGGGACATCGTGTCGCGTACGGACGCACAGCTGGGGCAGACGGGCATAGTCACCGGCATGCGCATGTTTTGCGACGTCCGCTGCGCCGACGGCCTCGTCCTGCGGCGCGTCGCGACTGAGCTGCTGCGGCCGCTCGCCGCGTGCCGTCCGGGCGCACTCGTCTTGCACTCGCAGGTGCGCCGGGGGGCCCTTGGTCCCGCCTCCCCGAGGGGAGAGAGGTCTGCTATGCGCGAGGGGCGGGGGGAGGGGGGAGGTGGCGGCGCGGCGAGGCGGCGGAGCCGTCCCAAAGACATGCTTGGCAGAGAGGGGCCGCAGCGGGCCGGATCGCGCCCCGCCCCGTTCCAACGCCCCTCCCCCCCCCGCTCCACGCAGGCGCGGTGGCTGGGCCGCGTGGACGAGGTGTACGACAACGTGCAGCTCGCGTGGGAAGACGGCGCCAGCTGCAAGGTGATGCGAACGAGCGCTAACTCACTCGCCGTCCACTCCCCCACGATGGACGAGCAGACGTGGTTCTGGCCGTCGATGAGCGTCTCGGGCACGCGCGACACGCTGCGCCGCGCAAAGTGGCTCAAGGGGTCGTTCCGTGCGCCGTACGCCAACGAGCACGCAACCGTCTCCAAGGTCCATGCGGCGCAGGCGCTGGTCCGCTGGCTGGCCGCCATCCCGTCGGAAGGCAGCGAGCCCGCGGCCTCGATCGAGCCGCCCGCCGAGATGCAGCGGCCGTCGCGCCTCATCGAGCTGCTCGACCACCACGCGCGCCGCTGCTGGCGGCTGGGAGAGCACGCTGCTCTCGGCGCCGAGGACCTGCTCCGCCTCCGAGACGAGGCTGAGGCGGCGGCGGCCGGCGGCGGCGCCGACGGCGGCGGCGGCGCCGACGGCGGCAGCCAGCCCGGCGGCGCGAAGAAGTCTCGCAAGAAGAAGGTTGCGCCGAGCGACGCGTGCGTCGAGGTGGTTGGATGCCACACGCGCGTGGACGTGCACTGGCAGGATGGCAAGCGCACGGCGGACGCGGAGGCGGCTGCCCTCGCGAGAGAGAGAGGAGATGCAGCCGAGATGCAGCCGTGATATAGCCGAGATGCAGCCGAAATGCAGCCGAGATGCAGCCGGGGTGCGAGATGATGCAGCCGAGAAGCTGCCGAGGTGTGCAGCCCCGCGCCTGCGCATTGCGCGCGAGCGTCCACGATTCGTGGGTGATCCAGCTCGCGCCGCCGTCGTCTCGCAGGCGGTCACTCTGGCGCCGGCGAAGCATGTCGACGGCTACTACGAGTTTTGGCCGCAGGACTTTGTGGTTCGCAAGGGCGCCGCGGAGGGCGAGGCGCAGCAGGTCGGGGTGGTCGTCTCCGTCGACCACGACGAGCGGATCGCGGTCGTGTCGTGGCGGCTGAACGACGCCGAGGCGGCGCGCGCCATGCTCTACGCCAACGCCGCCGACGCCGCCGACGGCGAGGGCGCCGCCGCGCAGGCCGAGCACCGGGGAGAGGTGGTGCCTAATTAGCTAATGATGACTGGCTGATTGAGACTGACTCGTTCGTCAGGCCGAGCAGCGGCGAGAGGTCGTGCCTGTGTACGACATCGCGCCGCACCCTGACTTCAACTTCAAGGTTGGCGACGTGGTGCTGCGGCTGCCGTCGATCCCGGACCCTGGGGAGGGGGAGGGGTCGGCGTCGGCCGACGGTGCCGCAGAGGCGGCGGCCCCAATGGAGGAGGCTGCGGCGGGCGGGGCCGGGCAGGACTCGCTCTCGGGCCTCTTGCTCACGCGAGCCACGCGTTGGGCCGCGAGCCTCGCGGGCGGAGCTGCGGCCGCCGCCGCCGACGAGGATGAGGAGGGCGCGCCGACGGGCGACCCCGAGGAGGGCGGCTTCACCGCGCTGCGGTGGGTGGGTGAGGTCAAGGAGATCGGGCCGTCGGTGCGCGTCAAGTGGATGGACGGGCGCGTGTCGCGCGCGGCGGCGGAGACGCTGTACGTGGTCAACACCGAGGAGGACGACGAGCCGCTCGAGGAGGACGCGGCGTCCTTCGACGAGGGCGACGAGGGCGAGTCGCGCGGCGGCCTCGCCGGCGACGGCAGCGAGGGCTCGTCCGGTTGGGAGACGGTCGATTCGGACGGCGAGGGCGACGCGCAGGGCAGCGGGGAGGAGGCGGATGCTGTCGACGACGGAGAGGAGGAGCGAGAGGGCGGCGAGCAGGGGGCGAGTGGCGACGGCCTTCACGAGCCACTCGACGCCACGCGCGCGATTGCGGCGATCGAGAATGCCGAACGGGCGCTGATCGAGGGGGGGGGGGAGGAGGAGGAGCAGGGGCACGCGGCCGCCGAGCCGGCCGAGCCGAGCGCGTCGCAGATGGAGGCTGAGGCCGGGGAGGGCGGCGAGCGCGTGCTTCCCGAAAAGGCGCGGCGGGAGCTCGCCAAGCACTTGCGCGCGGTGACGTCGCAGTCGGCGCGGCAGTGCGAGAAGGCGCTGCAGGCCAACGGCGACGACATCGAGCGCGCCACCGCCTGGCTCATCTCGCAGGCCGAGGCTGCGAGCAAGGCGTCGCCCGCTGCGGCGAGGAGGCTGATCGCGCAGGCCGACGCTCATCTCGCAGGCGAGGCCGACCCGCGGGTGGCTGCAGCGAGCAGTCAAGCCCACAGCGACGAGGAGGACTACGCCACCGCGGACGAGCTCGATGTCGAGGCGCCGGCCGGCGCGCCGAGGGGTGGAGGAGGAGGGGCGGGCGCGGCGGGCTCCGCAGGCGCGGCGGGCGCGGGCGGCAGGGGCGGAGACGCGGCGGGCGGGGGCGGGGACGCGGCGGGCGGCGCGGCAGACGCGGCGGACGGGGACGCTGGCGGGGCGCCGGCCGAGGGCGAGGACGAGTTTTCGCACCGCGCCATCGAGGCTGCGGGCATCGAGCAGTTCCGCGTGGTGGACGACGAGGACGCGCTCGAGTTGGGCCCGCCTCTGCGTTTGGTGCTCCGACCTGAGTGAGTGTCTCCACCCCTCATAGGACGGGCTCGACCTCACCTCGTTCCACACATACGCGACGCACTCGCCCTTTGCCTCGCCGCCCTCGGGCTCGGCGGCCGCGACAGCGCCGTCTGCGGCGAGCTCGTCCTCCTCCACCGCCGACGGCGGCGGCACCGGCGGCGGCGGCACCGGCGGCGGCGCCCCCACGCAGCCCGTGTACCCTCCCAATTTCGGGAAGGTTGCTCAGAAGCAGTGGAAGCTGCTCGCGAGCGGCCTCCCCCGCGGCATCTACGTCGTCGCCTTCGCGTCACGCACCGACCTCCTCCGTGCCCTCGTCATCGGCCCGCCGGGCACCCCGTACCAGGACGCTGTCTTCGTCTTTGACCTCCAGCTGCCGCCCGAGTTCCCGACGCAGCCGCCGGCGGTGCACTACCTGTCGTACGGGGAGCGCATCAACCCGAACCTGTACGAGAACGGCAAGGTCTGCCTCTCGCTCCTCGGCACGTGGACCGGCCGCCAGTCGTGCGAGCTGTGGAACCCGCAGTCGTCGACGGTGCTGCAGGTCCTCGTGTCGATCCAGGCGCCCCCCCCCCGACACCCTGACACCCACCCCCCACCCACCTTTCAGACCCACCCGGTACCCCCCCCACCACCCACCCCAACACCTATCCCAACACCCACCCTCCTCCACCCGCCACCCACCCACCCAAGACATCTCAGCCGGGCGTGGACGGACATGTCCCGGACCCTTCCTCTAGGCGTTGGTGCTCTGCGAGCAGCCGTACTACAACGAGGCCGGATACGAGCGGCAGCTGGGCACCTCGGACGGCGCGCACCACGCGCGGCGGTACAACGAGGGCGCCTTGCTCCTCTCGCTCAAGTCGATGACGACGACGCTCCGCAACTCGGCGCCGCCCTTTGACGCGCTGGTCGCGCTGCACTTTGCCGCGGCGTCGTCGCGCATCCTCGCGCGCTGCGCCTCCCTGCTGCGGCTCAAGGGGCCCCTCGAGCGAGCCGCCCTCGGCGGCGGCGGCAAGGCGGCGGCGGTGGCGCCCGCCCCCGCCAGCGACGAGGCGGCCGCGCCCGACACCAGCGGTGCGGCGGCGTCCGGGCCGGAGGGCGGCGACGCGGTCGCCGCAGCGGGGCTCAAGGGCGTGCTCAACGCGAAGCCGACCCTCGGCTTCCTGCACTCGCTCGACCGGATGGTGCCACCGCTGCGCGCCGCCTTTGAGGGCGCCCAGCGAGCCGGCAGCAGCAGCGCGTGACCGCCCGCGTCGCCATGGGCAGGTTGGGGCCTGCGGGGGCCGCGGGCGCGCGCAAGGAGAAGGGCACCAGTGCACTCCGGGCGTGTCTGATGGGCTCGCCTGGGCGTGGTGTGTGCGCGCGTCGGACGGCGGGAGAGCGGTGCCAGATCGAGGTTGACGTCCGCTTCCTTCGTGTGTGACGACGTATGTGCGTGTGGCGCGCGCTCCAACACGCCCCGACGAGCAACGTGCGCGGCGTGCGGCCGTTTTGTGCTTAGTTTTGCGCGGCCGCTCGCGCGTCGCGGGGATGTGGAGCGTGGATGATATCGTTCCGTTTATCCCGGGGAGCTACGAGTCGCGCTCGTAATTAACCAACATCCTGTACGGGGGCCGGGGCCCCGGCCCGCGCCCCCCGCGCGCGGTGCGCGGACGGCCCGCGCCACTCACCTGCTCAGCCCTAACTATTGGAGCTGTTTTTCCATATATATTAATTTTCAATAACAAAAACAACATTTTCCGTGGTCCTTGTTTATGTATGTAAAGAGTGAGTGCAGTCGAGAGGACAGGGGAGGGACGCGGCCAGAAAGAGCCTAAGAGGGCGGGCGCCGAGTTACGAGACCCCCCGTGTCCGCCGCGACGCGTCGAGACGAAACGAGCTGAGCCGCGCTCCACACGCCTCCACGGCCCGCCCCGGGGCGGTTCAGATCACACACTCGCTACGCGTGCGGTGTGGGCCCCCCGATATGGCGATATGCCATATGGGAGGAGATCGGGGAGTGCGAGTGGCACGAGAGCGTCCCCCGACAAAAGAAAGGCACCTGACACATTTGGAACGCTCATTTTGACGTACACAGTATAGTGCTGAGAACTGCGTCCGCCGCGGTGCGGGGGGCCGCCTCACAGGTCGAGGAACCGCTGCCGCGGGGGAAGGCCCTCGTTGATATACACGGGCGAACCGTCCCGAACCAGCTGCGCCGCGATCCGGGCAATGTTGCGCGAGTCGTCGATGCCAGAGTGCAGCCGGCCCTCGAAGCGCATGCCTTGCCGCTCGAGCATCTTGGCGATCTTGCAGCGGCGCACCTTGTAGTGGTCGGCAAACAGCTGCTTGAGGTTGACCCACTTGTCAAAGTACTCCGCCTTTGGGATGCCCTTGCGCGAGCACTCGCCGTCGACAAAGAACTGGCAGTCAAAGTGCCCGTCCGTGCCGAAGGCGAAGCTGCGCGCCTCGGCCGTGTTGACGAGGCCGCGCTCGCGCAGCCAGCCGTCGAACTCGCGCAGCACCGCATCTAGCGGCGGCGCCGCATCGACCTGCTCCTGCGTGATTCCGGTGAGCTTGCGGCAAAACGGCGTGAGAGTCTGGTTGGCTGTCGGGCGCACAAAGGAGTGGAACTCGTGCTCGACCTGCAGCGTGCGCAGGTTGAGCGCCACCACAGGGAACTCGATGATCTCGTGCTCCCACGGGCGGCCGCGCGCGTCGCAGGTCGCCTCCACGTCCAGCACCAGCAGCCACTCAAACGGCAGCGCATGCGCGTCGGCGAGAGGCCTCGCCTCGCGGAGCACTGCGCCCTCCTGGCGCGCTCGCTCCTTGGCCTCCCCGCGCTTGCGACGCGCGCTCCGCTTCGCCAGCGGCGCCGCGCGCGACTCTCGCACCAGCTCGACGAGAGCGACCCGCTGCGGCGCGCCCTGCGACACCGCGGCGCACGGCACGCCCGCGCGGACGCGGACGGCCTGTGGCGGCTGCAGTCGAAGCGCCACGAAGCCCAGGCTGAGGGCCGTCAGAGCGAGCCACATGGGGGCCGACCTCGCGGGTCTAGAGACAGTGTTGTCGTGCGCGGCTGCCTAGCTCAGATTCGCGCAAAGAATTCTGAACTCAGCGTGGAGACAGGCTTGAATTCTTCGACCCTGTCCTCCTCCCCCATCCCTCGCTTGGGTTGCCTGTTTTCTTTGTTGCTTTCTGAATTCTTCGGCGCTGAAGCCCTGATAGCAAAATCCGAATACCCGTACCGTGCACAAATGTGGCGATGTGAGCGGGGGCAAGCCTTAGCTGGTGCCAAGACATCCGTAAAGTTGAAACCAAGAACGTCCGCCAATTACGTGCTTTCGGCGCAACCTGAGTGAGGGGAAGCCGCTGATCGAGCCCAGCGTGCCCGCGGCCGCCTCCCGCGCAGCACCGCCGCTGGGGACGACACGCTGCGGAATCGGATCGAGCCCATGGAAGAGCAAGAGGAGGGCAAGGGGCGAATTGGAGGCGGAGGAGGAGGGCGCAGTCGACGAATGGGAGGAGGAGGGCGCAGTCGACGTTGGCGTGTCTGACTCAGAGGAGGAGTTGGAGGTGCAGCCATGGGTGCTCCGGCAACCTAACCTGATCCAGAAGCTCGCCGACGTTGTCACTCAACGTGCGCCATGCGTGATCGAGCTTGAGGGAGGAGCTCAGCTAACGATTCGGCCGGCCACCCAACGCCGCCGCCCATACCCGCCACCCACAAAGCGCCTGCTCTACTATCCCGTACCACCCGCTCCACTTTCCACGGATCATGCCCGTGATAGCACCAACCATCACTGCCGCCGTCCTGGTTTTGAACGTGGCAGCTAGACTCTAGGAACTCGGTTGTGACCCCCCTGAGTGAGGAGCAGGAGAGAGAGCTTTTGTGTTTTGTTTTGAGCTTTTGTGGTGTTCGTGTACGCAAAAAGGGACACTGCGGAATCGACCCTATCAAGTGCTCAAGTGCTCAAGGGGAATTACACCTAGGACAGTGTTGTCGTGCGGCTGCCTAGCTCAGATTCGCGCAAAGAAATTTATTTCTTACGAGGGTTCTTTTCTTTGTTTCTTCTCTGAATATAAACGACTGGGGCCGATGATGTTCGTCGCGGCGCTATCAGCCGCCACAAGTGAGGAGACGAGGTTCTGCGAGAGTGAGTCCGTGGTTCTGCCGGTGATTGACCTTGCAGTGGCAGATGAAGCCCAGACGTCAGCAGCGCTGACCGCTGCCGCCTCAGAACACGGCTTCATGCTGGTCGTTGGCCACGGCATCGCCTCGGCGGCTGCAGAGGCTGCGCAGTCACTGCAACACCGCCTGGAGACGTCTACGCCCGAGCAGCTAATGAGCTGGCGCCGCAATAAGGTCGGCTATGGGCCCGGGCTACAGCACGCGAAGCACAACAGCTCTCGCAAGACGCTGGAGGGCAAGTACGAGGCGTTGCAGCGTGAGGACTTTGTGTTTGTCTCTCCAGACGACGCGACGCGCAAGGCAGCAGGCGACCCGCACTACTCTCGCGAGGCGGCTGCCGTGTGGTACGGTGACGTCGAGCCGCTCTGCCCCGACGAGGCGCTGTGCGCCGCGTTCGCGCGCCACTACCGCGGGGCCGAGGGCCTCGCCGCGCAGCTGCTGCGGCTGTTTGCACGCGCCGTGACGGGCGATGCGGACGCATGGGCCGCACACGCGCGCCGGCACAAGTCCAACCTGGTCGGTGCCTACCACCGCGCGGGCGTCGCGCACGAGCGCGTCTCCGCGCACTCGGACGCCAACCTCTTCACGCTGATCCACTACGGCAGCGGCGGCCCCGACGGGCTCGAGATCTTTGACCGTGGCTGCGCTGGCTGGCTGCGCGTGCGTGGCGCGCAGCTGCGCGACGCCCACGGCGCTGATGCAGGCGCGCCGCCGCTGCTGCTCAACATTGGCGACGAACTTGCCTGGCTCTCAAATGGCCGCTTCCTCTCGACGCCGCACCGCGTGACCGACCGCTCTGCCTCACCGCCGGCGCGGCTCGCCCTCATCTATTTCTTCGCCGCCAGCTACGATGCGGTGCTCGAGCCGCACGTGCGCCGTGGCGAAGTCAAGCGCTACGACGGTGCGAGACTCGCCGGTCGTTTCACGTACAACTATCGAACGGCGAGCGCAGCGCAGCGCGACGCTTTCGACACGTGGGCGAAGGAGGCCGGGCTACCTGCCGCGGAGCACATGAGCACAGGCAAGAGCGAGCTGTGAAAGTTTAGTGTGACGCCCAGCGAGGGGCGTGCCTCTCCATGACCGAATGCGCGGGTGCGCATTCACACTTTCCGAGATATTACGTCACGTAAAAGCAACTCGATTGCTTTTACGTGATTACGCGGCGTAAGGTAAGGTAAGGTAAGGTAAACGTCTCGTGCGGCTATACGCGCCGAGAGCGCGGATATATTTGCTATTTGGGAGCTATTGCGATTGCATCGCTATTTCGGGCGTATCGGCGCGCCGACGGTCGCCGAAGTGTTGTAGTCTATTCCTGGCTCCTCCTGACCGCCCACGCACCCTCGCACCCGACGGTGCGTGGAGCGCTAAACTTCTGTAGTATGTAGTAGAAAAGGGTAGCACGCAATCTTCTATCAGCGGACCGTCCCACCGCCCGTCCACACACCCCTTACCTTCCCCCGCCCCGAGAGACGCCAAGAGCGCCACAATGCTCAAACAGTGAACGGTTTCCCTCTCATGTCTCATCAGTCTACGCGGCCTGCAGCAGCTCGACAATGAGCTCGTGCTTGTTGCTCCTCGCGAGGCTAAGGGCGGTCGTCGCGTTGTTAGTCGTCGCGTTGTAGGTCGTCGCGCTGTCGGTCGCGACGAGGCCTTTCTTGGCGCCGAGCTTCAACAGCGTCCTCACGGCGTCCATGTGCCCGTCGTTGGAGGCACGCATGAGTGCGCTCATGCCTGTTTTGTCCGTGTGGTTCACGTCGGCCTTGGCGTCGACGAGGGCCTCGATCGCCGTTGCATGATTGTTCCACGCCGCCTGGATGATTGGCGTCGTACCGTCGCCGCGCTGCCCGTTGATCGCAGAGCCCGCGGCGAGCAGCTGCGCGATGACTTCAAGGCTGCCGCTGCGTGCGGCGCCGATGAGCGCGGTGCCGCACGGATTCTCCGGGCTCTTGGCGACCAGGTCAGCACGCGCGCCGCGCTGCAGCAGCGACGAGACGATCGACACGCAGCCACCCTGCGCGGCGAACATGAGCGCGCTCACGCCCTGCTCAGTGACGAGGTCGAGCGACGCGCCGGCATGCAGCAGCGCCGCAGCGACCTCCGCGTGCCCTTCGCTCGCCGCGGCGATGAGCGGCGTCGTGCCGCCTTCCTCCGCGACGTCCGGCTCGGCCTTCGCCGCGAGCAGCGGCCGCACGATGTCGACGGACCCCTCGATGGCGCTGAGCAGCAGCGCCGTCACGTGGCGCGTCGAGCGCGCCGCGGGCTTCGCGCCGCTCTCGAGCAGCAGCTGCACGCACTCGGCGGATGCCGCCGCCGCAGCGAGCATCAGCGGCGTCACGCTGTTGTCGGCACTCTCGTTTGCGCTCTCCGCGGAGTAATTGCTCAGCGCGAGCGCGGCGCGCACCGCCTCCACGTCGCCGACCTCCGCCGCCGCGAGGAGCTTCGAGCCGCGCCGCGCCTTGCGCGTGGCGTCCTTGTAGAACGGCGTCGCGACGACCAGCCGTGGCGGCCGCTTGTGCGTGAGGCACAGCCGCTCCGCCACAATCTGGTGGCCTCCCGCTTGTGCGAGCGCCACCACCGTGCCCGGCCACGGCTGATGGCGCACGATGCCTGAGGCGAGGAGCATCGAGAGGGCGTGCAACGCTCGTCGCTGCGACGCGCTCGGATCGTGCCCCCAGGAGACGCACCAAGTGCTCACCGCGTCGGCGTGCTCGGCCGCCACGCCGCCGCGCGCCGCTGCCATCCCAAGCAGCGCGGCCGCCTCCGCGTGGTGGTCGTTCCGCGCGAGCACCTGGGCGGAAGCGCGCATGCGTCCCGCGACCGCGGCGTCGTCGCCCGTCTCGTCCGCCCACGCTGCCTCCGTCGCGAGCGACGCGAACATGTCGCTCCGCGCGCGGAACGCATCGCGAGTCGCCTCGATAAACCCCTCCTGCTCGTTGAAGAAGTATGCGCCGCGCCGCGCCGCGCGCCCGCACACCACGTCGAGCTCGCCGGTCTGCGGCGCTCCCGGCACGCGCATCGACTCCAGGACGGAGATGTGCGTACGCTGCATCTTGGCGACGACATGGTCCATCGTCTCGTCCTTGAGATTGCACGACAACCGCAGCTCAACCACGATCACGCCGTCCTCGACGCGCGGCGCCTTGACGACCTCGAGGCCCGTCAACGGCGCGAACAGGATTTCTCGTTCGTTGGGGAACTGGCTGAGTTTCGACACGTCCGCTCCCCGATCGATCATCCCCATCTGGATCTGGAAGAGCATCTTGGACGTCTTGCCGCTGTTCGCCATGTAGCCCAGCGCGACCGACTTGTCCACCGTGGTCGACATGAAGGCAAACTCCACGCCGCCCATCACGTTGTCTTGGTTCGGCTCCCAAAACGCTTTTGGGAGCACGCCGCCGCTCACGCCACGGTACACGGTGCAGGCGGGGGTGAGACGCGCAAGCTTGATGATCGCCGAGTTGATCGCGTGCAACGTGGTCACGAACTTGCCGCGCTGGCGCTGGCGTAGCACGCCATTGTACAGACTGAACATTGGGCCCGTGTACAGGCGCAGCCCGGCGACTTCGGGAAGCAGCAGCCCCGCCTTGATCATCTCTGGCTGTGCGCCGAAGTCCGCGAGGCGCCAGCCCACGGGATAGCCCGTGTCGCGATCAGGGAAGGCCGAGTCACCCGTTCGTAGCTCTGCGACGTAGCGCCACTCCGCCTCGGGCGTCGTCGTGCGCTGCTTCTCGGCGTTCCACGCCACGAAACGCGTATCATTAGCGTGCTCAGTGGCCATCGCCGGCAGGAACTCGGGCGACGGCGTGCCCACGAGGCCCTCGAGCCCGGCAAAGAACTGTTCGACGCCGCCGAAGGAGTAGGTGAACGCGTCGCCGGAGCTCGCGAATTTGGAGTGCAACGCAGAACCGTCAGCTGCGAGCCTTGTGGCAGTGATGCCGACGAGTCCAAGCTTTTCGACCGACGCACGGACGCCCTGGGACACTGGCATCGACGACTCAGCAGCAGCTTCCTTTGCCCGACGCTCCAGCTCTTCAACGCGCCGCCGCAGTTCCGCGTTCTCCGCCACGAGGATCGCACCGTCGGTGGAGGATTTGTCGCCCTTGGTCTCAGACCTGGCATCGGCGATTAGGCCGCTCATCGCCTCGAGCATCTTCTCCAAGACAGCACGCTCCACTGGCTCGTCATCGGGTGCGATCGCCTTACGCAGAAGGTCCACACGCTGCTCCTCCCAGTCGAGCCCCTTTTGCTTCAGCAGGTCCGTCAACTCGCTCATAGTGATGTTGACGGTCGCCGGCTTGCGCCACAGCTTCGTCTCGCTCACGCCGAGATCGGTGGCGGAGGGGAGGGCGTCGGCCGGCTGCGTCGGCGCGGCGGTGTCGGCGGGCGTCGGGGCGTCGTCGCGTTCGACGGCGGGAGGGCCGGGCAGCTCCTCGGTCGGGGCCTCGACGCGGCTGGAGAAGCAGCCCATCGTGAGAAGGCCATCGTCTTTGCAAAGGACACAGGTGGAAAATCTGCAATAGGATTCCTAGGATTCACAGCGCATCTGTGAGCGCTGTCAGAGCGGTGTTTCGACACCGATATCGTTCGAGGAGAACGCTGATTCAAAATCCGCTGTTCACACTTCACAGGCAAGTGTAAGCGGAGCAGCTGAGCGAATCCTTTGTGTTCACACCTGCTCGAGCAGGTGTGAACCGATTTCGGCCTTAGCCGTCGGTATGCCAATAGCGTGCTAGCCAAGTAGTACGCAGTTGGATTCCGAGGGTGTCCCATCACAAGTTCGGCTGTCGACAGACGAGATTGTCCCTTAGTCGACAGCACCCGCCTTTGGACGGTGCTCTGACTGGCTTTGAGAATATATTTTTTCTTTTTGGTTGCCCGTAGCCCGATCCCGATCATCCGGCCCGCTGGGTGCGCTTCTGAGCTCCCCGGCCCTGGATGTGAGGCTGCCGACTGCACTCCAAGTGCTCCAAGTTCACATGGCTAGAGGTTGGCCTCCCACCGTTGTGAACATAGTCTGGCCCGAAGGAGCCGCTCGTCTCTTGTCCGGGCAAACGCGCGCCCGATAGCCCCATTAAGCACGTGTGAGGGGTATCCGAGCGCCGTAAACTCCCTGAGCTTGCTCGTCACGCTGAGCGTCCTATACCCCCACACGAACAAATAGCAAAATATGTTCGTAAGAGCTACATACACTGAAAATCCGAATACCGTGCACGAACTGCGTGATCTGGGCCGGGCAAGCCTTCAGCTGGTGCCAAGACATTCGTAAAATTGAAGCCAAGAACGTCCGCCAAATCCGTGCTTTCGGAGCAACTGAGGGAAAGCCGCTGATCGAGCCCAGCGTGCCCGCGGCCGCCTCCCGCGCAGCACCGCCGCTGAGGACGACACGCTGCGGAATCGGATCGAGCCCATGGAGGAGAAGGGTGCAGTCGGCGAATCGGAGGAGGAGGAGGAGGGCGCAGTCGTCGACATTGGCGTGTCTGACTCAGAGGAGGAGTTGGAGGTGCAGCCATGGGTGCTCCGGCAACCTAACCTGATCCAGAAGCTCGCCGACGTTGTCACTCAACGTGCGTCATGCGTGATCGAGCTTGAGGGAGGAGCTCAGCTAACGATTCGGCCGGCCACCCAACGCCGCCGCCCATGCCCGCCACCCACAAAGCGCCTGCTCTACTATCCCGTACCACCCGCTCCACTTTCCACGGATCATGCCCGTGATAGCACCAACCAATCACTGCCGCCGTCCTGGTTTTGAACGTGGCAGCTAGACTCTAGGAACTCGGTTGTGACCCCCCTGAGTGAGGAGCAGGAGAGAGAGCTTTTGTGGTGTTCGTGTACGCAAAAACTACGGGTATGTTCGTAAGAGCTACATACACTAAAAAAAAAAGGACACTGAGAGAGAAGTACGAGAGAGAAGTACGACACTGCGGAATCGACCCTATCAAGTGCTCAAGTGCTCAAGGGGCATTAAACCTTTTTTTTTCAGCGTGTCTGCTGATCTCGTCCAGCAAAAACACAACCGCTCCCAAGACGCACAAGCAGGACACGCTGCTGACCTGGGCCGCTCGTCACGGGCAAGCCGAGGCTCACACGTATCCGTCACTAGCAGTGCCACTGACTCTGCGCAAGATGCCATCAACGTGCAGCCGTCGTCGGCGACGACCATCAGGGTTGCTGCTCCTCACAGCCTCGCCATTCTCGCTCGCGCTCGCCGCGGTGAGCGCTCGCAATGGTGGCCTGCCGGCACCAACCTACTCCCTTCACGACGCCGCTGCAGCTGGCGACATGAGCGCGGTCGACCTGCTCCTCAGCGCTGGCCTCTCGAGCAACGAGCTCAACGCCAGGCGAAGCACACCGCTGCACATTGCAGCCCTGAAAGGACACCGCGAGATTGCAGCGCTGCTGCTGGCGCACGGCGCTGACCCGAACGCCGCCAATATGGGCGGCAGCACGCCGCTCCATGCCGCCGTTGAGATGGGCCAGCACGAGCTCGCAGAGTTGCTCGTTTCAAGCGGTGCAGACGCCTCCTCGCCGTCAGGCCTGCTGTCGCCCGAAAGTGCAGCCCCTCGCATGATCGCAGCGACCGGTCCGTGGGGTGGTGCCTAGGTGAGGGGTCACAGCCGCTCAAGATGGCCCTCGGCCAAGGGGATGCCGGCATGCTCGCTCCGCCCTCCTGCGCGGCGGCGCTCTCTCCACGCCTCTCTTGTGATTGTGTGCACGGCTGTCCTGGTCAGGCATGCTCTGCGCCCTCCTGGGCGGCGGCGCAGCCCTCGACGGTGAGACGGTGCAGGCCGCCTTTTGGACGGCGGCGCGGCTGGCCGAGCAGACGGCCGACGGCGGGCTGCTGCCGGAGGAGGTGCCTCGGCTGCTGCACCACGTGTTCGACGCGGACTTCGCGCACCTGCAGGGGCGGCGGCGCTTGACGTACAACGTCACCTGCCGGCAGCCCGCCGAGCACGCGCCAAAGACGCGCTCGGAACATGAGCCGGGGTTGCGGCGCCCGCGGAGACCGAGGGAGCTTGCACCAAGCTGCCACGAACCTTCTCACCTTCCTGCAGGTACCTGCGTCGTCGGCGAGGAGCTGCTCGGAGGAGGAGGAACCTCCCCTGAGAATTCTCGGAACCTCCCTACAGGTACGGCGTCGTGGACGAGGAGCTGCTCGCCGTGCCGCTGCGGGAGGGGCGCGCGTGCGTTGGCGGCGCGTGTTGCGAGGCGTGCTCTCGCCGCGCACCTCCTTCCCTCCCAGCTTCACCTCTCTCGGGGCAGCGCCCCGCCTGCGGCGCCGTGCCCGCTCACGAGCTCAACCATATGATTCATCGACCAAGCTTGGCCCTCTGACTATTGCACTTTGTCTGTATGCCTTCCCCTGTGACGCCACACAACGCCTCGTGTGTAAAAATGCCCCGTGTGTTCCGCGAGTGCGTGCGCCCCGTCATCCGTGTGAGCACGTGTGTAACGCTGACTGACTGCTTGGGGGCTCGTAGGTGTGCTCACGGGTCACCTTCGACTCGCTGTGCACGCCCGAGGAGGCGGACGCCTTCCGGCAGGAGCTGGAGGTGGTCTGGTGCGCCAGCGACCGTGCCTCGTTCCATAGTAGCGTACTCGCCCTTGCGTGCCCCCTCAGCCCCCACGACCCTCGCGAGTCCAGAGAGAGATGGAGCCGGCGGCTGTGGTCTCTAGAGTGCGCCGGCCCGTGCTGTTTGCAGGCCGGACGACACGGGCCACCAGTTCAGCCTCTCCAAGTGCGCGTTCCGCGACGTGCGCACGTCGCTCCTCTTCGTGCGGCTCGTCGAGCGGATGCGCCGCTCCATTGCGCACGAGTTTGGGCTGCCTCTCTCCACCGTCACGCCGCTGCAGACCTTCGTCTCCTTCTTCGAGGGACGGGGCGCCCAGCAGGGTGCGTGACGCGACACACAGAGAGACAGGGCGCAGGGAGCGTCAGAGACGCGTCGGACCTGGCGCCCACACGTCGCGAGACGCACCCCTCTGGCGCCGACTCGCCGACCTGCAGGTAGTAGTGGTAGTGGCAGGCAACCTTACTTCCGTGATCGGACCCCTCTCCACGCACCACGCCGACCTGCAGGTGGGCTGCACTCAGACGAGAGCACCTTCCCCGAGTTCCACTACTCGGCCGTCCTCTACCTCTCCACGCAGGGCGACGACTTTGAGGGCGGCACCTTCTCGTGGAGCGACCCGCCCGAGGCAGCCCCGCCCGAGGGGCAGCCTCGCCGCCACGTGAGGAGGCGGCGTGTCTCTTCACACTGCGGGGCCGAGTGAGTTAGGCGCCGGGCGGGCCGCGCGTCGCCACGCCCCTCGCGCCCAGCAAAGGCGCCGCCGTCGTCTTCTCTAGTGGCTGGGAGAACATGCACGAGGCGGAACCCCGCTCCCGGTCGGGCCGGCGCCGCCATGAAGCTGCCCCGAGTCTTGTCGGAACCTTCCTGTAGGTGGAGCCCCTCCGGTCAGGCAGGCGATTCGCCGTGCCCTCCTTTTTCACGACGCTGCCCGGCGGGCCACCAGCCGAGGCGACGGTGCCCACCGAGCCGCGCGCGGTCGCGGACGAGCTCTGGCGGACGCTGCTGGCGCCGCAGACGGCGGCAGACCCAAAGGGATTTTTCCTCAAGTGGCACGGCCTGCTGGCGCCAGGGCACGCGTGAGAAAGAAGGGGGCGCACCCCGAAACAGCGTGCCAAACAGCGTGCTACTGTGTTGAGTGCTGGAGGCGCCCCTGATGCCACTGGACTCGATCCGAGCCGGCGGCGCTTTCGTCCGGGCCCACGGTCGGCACGCCATCTCGATTTCCACTCGCCCGACGCGCTCAGTCTCAGCTGACGGCTGCCGCAAGAGCGGCTGGCTAACGACAGCGTCTTGCCGGTTGTCGGATGGGAGAGTACAGAACGTCTGGAGTGTAACTGTGTACGTGAGATCGGTCTTGGTAACAAGCACAGTGTGTCTATCGAAGCGATGCACTCGTTTCCGTTGCCTTCGAGCTTGACACAGAGCTCAGCGCGCCCCGCAAAACAGGAAGAAGCCGTCCGGCAAGAAGAGCTCGATAGGGAGCGAGAACCGTTAGAGGTGCTCCGGGAGGTATCAGGTCTCCGTCACGACACGGTAAGATCGCCCCAACAATGACCGCGAAGACGTCGGATCTCGTTGAGATATCTGCTCTTCCGACCCGGCAGCATCTCAGAGAGGTGCACAAAGGCTACGAGTGCTCCGCCTGCTGCGGGCGGGCGCGGATACGAAGCTGCGCACTACGGACGGCAAAATCGCGCTGCAGTGGGCCAAGGAGCGGGGCCACGCCGAATGCGTCGAGGTCTTGGCTGAGGCGGCGGCGGCTGCAGACGGCCGAGCGGGGCCGGGCGGCGCTTCCTCGAGCGCGGCAGCGGCAGCTGTGGACGCGCCGCTGCTCGGCCAGCGAGTCGAGCTCGGCGGGCTCTCCTCCCGCCCAGAGCTAAACGGGATGCGGGGCGTGGCTCGGAGCTTTGAGGGCGGACGGTACGTTGTGGCGCTCGAGGGCGGCGGCGAGAGTGTGCGGGTGCGGCCGGGTAATCTGTCGCCAGCGGTGTCAAGGGGTGGCGTGCCAGTCTCCGATGCGGTTGTGGCAGCGGCTGACCGAGGCGATGAGGCGGCGGTGCTGGCGTGGCTCGAGGTCGGCGGGCGGGTCAACGCGACGTGCGAGAGAGGTGCGGTGAGCGGCATCACGCTGCTGATGGGCGGCGCGCGCAGCGGCCACGAGCGGGTGGTCGACCTGCTGATACGGCGCGGCGCTGACATCAACCTGCAGAACAGCGTCGGCGTCACCGCGCTGATGAACGCCGCCTTCAAAGGCTACGAGCGGGTGGTCGAGCTGCTGATTCGGCACGGCGCGGACATCAACCTGCAGAACAGCGACGGTAGCACCGCGCTGATGCTCGCCGCCGGCAAAGGCCGCGAGCAGGTGGTCGAGTTGCTGATCCGGCACGGCGCGGAGATCAACAAGCAGGACAGCGACAGCTACACCGCGCTGATGTTCCGCCGCCCAAGGCCACGAGCGGGTGGTCGAGCTCCTGATACGGCGCGGCGCGGAGATCAACCTGCAGAACAGCGGCGGCGGCACCGCGCTGATCATCGCCGCCTACAAGGGTCACTTCGCCGTCGTGCGTCAGTTGCTGGAAGCGGGCGCTGATACGCTGCACACTGCGGGGGGCAAGACCGCGCTGCAGCTTGGGAAACGGCCTCGCCGCGTGCGTGTGTGCCCTCGAGGAGCATGCGGCGGCCGAGGCCGAGGCGAGGGCGGCTGCTAGGGCAAGGGCGGCTGCTTGGGCAGAGGCGAGAGTTGCGGCGGAGGCAAGGGCGGTGGCGGAGGCGAGGGTGGCGGAGGCGGCGGCGGCGGCTAGAGCTACTGCTGAGGCGGAGGCGGTGGAGGCGGCGGCCGCGACGGAGGCGGCGGCGGCGGCGGCGGTGGCGGCAGCAGCGCAGGTGGAGGCGAGCAGAACGCGGCACAACGAGGCTCTGCGGGCGGCAATGGCTTCGCACGGGTTGCAGGAGATCAGAGACGCGATCGCCGCCGGCTGCGAGCACGCGAGCCCGGGTGTGCTCACCGAGGCGCGCCGGCTGCGCGACCGCCTGCGAGAGGAGGCGCGCAAGGCGGCGAAGCGAGAGCGGCTCGCGGCGGAGCGCGAGGCGAGGCAGGCGGCAGCTCAACGGGCGGCGGAGGCGGAGGCGGCGGAGGCGGAGGCGGAGGCGGCTGCGGCGAAGGAAGCGTCGGAGCGCGAGGCGCTGGCCGCGCTACAGCGGCTCGTGAGCGCGGACAGCGCAGAGGCGCTACGTATCGCGATCGACGACGCCACGCCACACGCGGGCGCGATCGACGCTTTGGACGAGGAGCTACCGCGATCGGCGCTTCGCCTCGCAGCGCTTGAGGTTTGCTTTCCGAGGCTGCTGCACAGACGGCAGCAACGGTGGTGGGCGACGTTGACCCACTCATGTGCGTCGTGTGCATGAGCGAGCAAATCACCCACATCATGGTCCCGTGCGGGCACCACTGCGAGGCTTGCTCGGATCGTCTTAGGGAGAGACACCTGCCATCTCCGTTGTGCAACCAGCCGTTCACGATGGCCATGCGCGTTTACGCGGCAGGTGTCTCGTGATGTCTGATAAACGGAGAACTGCAAGGTCGTATTTCTTTTTTAGATCTGCCAGTCCGCGCCAGTCCGCGCCCTTGGTGCCAGTGTGCTGTGAGAGAGGCTTGCGGTTGGAGCACTTGGAGCACTTCGGTTTGAGAATTCTTTTTTAGATCGATTCGGTGGTCGTCCCGCCTGGTCGTTAGGTTGTTCAGCAGCTCCCGAAGCGGCCGACTTCCGCCTCCTGATCC